AGGAGTTTCCCTCTGAGAATGATGACGTTTTGGGGTGGGGTTCGTGGGGCCTGGAGCTGAAGGCCAAGAAAAAATTCTTAAAGTCTTTGGTGCAAAAAGGTGATTTTATTAAAGCATGGGACAGGGCCCGGGGGCATAAAGAACTGCATTGTAAGTGTGGGGGTTACCATTTTATGGAGTTGGGGGAGAGAGAGTTTCTAAAGAGACTTTCTGGAGGCCTAGCTATTGTCAACCTAAGGTTTTTCTCACTAGCAAAGCATTAAGACTGTAGGGAGTTCCTGGACTTTAGACTATGTTGGTATTGCCTTTTTCTGGTAAGCTGGTGGGGACTCTTATCAGTTTAACCACTTGTTTTTTTGTCCGTTCCTGTTTTGGGGGTAGCCTGGAGTGTCCAAGGAATATCATACATGTCCCACCTGTGGGCGGGTGGGGAGTGGTGCTGTTAGCCTGCACTTTGCCTTCAGCTTGCCCCATGCTCCTTCATCAGGAGTGGAAGGTCTTCAGGGTTGGAAACCTTGCATTCTGAACAGCTCATTTCTACTGTTACTGTTCACCAAAGCCAAGAAGGATAAAATGGTGTCAAATACAGCGAGTGATCCAAGGAGTTAGACTGGATTTGGCAGTTTGAGAGCTGTTGCAGTAGAGGGGGAGGAAAAGCCAGATTGTGGTGGGTTGAAAGCGAGTGGGAAGTGAGAGAATAGAGAAAGCCAAGATACTTATCTCAGAAGGAAAGGAGAAAGACGAGGGTAGTTTCTTTTGGGGGTAGAGTTCTTTTTAGATTGATTGTTTTGCTACAACTTTGCCTCACTTTTCAGCTGATATTTTATTGTCAGTTAATATGTGCATGTGTGTAGTGTTTTTAGGTTCTATATACATGTACAAATGTGTACTCTTTTATTTTATTATTTTTCAAAATGTTTTATATATTTCTGAGAGAGAGGGAGACAGTGTGACCAGGGGAGGGTGAGAGAGAGAGGAAGACACAGAATCTGAAGCAGGCTCCAGGCTCTGAGCTAGCTGCCAGCACAGAGCCCGATGCAGGGCTCGAACTCACAAACTGAGAGATCATTACCTGAGTCGAAGTCAGACACTTAACCAACTGAGCCACCCAGGCACCCCATATGTGTACTACTTTAACATGAAGTAACAGGGGAAAAAAAAAAAAAAACTTAAAAAAAAATTTTAGTGTTTATTTATTTTTGAGAGAGACAGAGTGTGAGCGGGGGAGGGGCATAGACAGAGGGAGATACAAAATCTGAAGCAGGCTCCAGGCTCTGAGCTGTCAGCATAGAGCCTGATGTGGGACTCCATGATCCGAGTGATAATGACCTGAACCAAAGTTGGACGCTTAACTGACTGAGCCACCCAGGCACCACAGAAAAAGGAAAAAAAAAACTTTTAAAAGAAATTACAGTATTACATTGAGCCTATTATCTGCTCTGTAATATATTTTGATTAGGGCCATTTAGTGAATTGCTCTTGATTGTCTTTCACTTTCCTTCCCTATTTCTCTCACTCTAGGGGTCAGCCTCAGCTCACCATCTAAGGGCTTTTTGAGCCTTATTGGTTACCTCCCCATTCTCTCTCACAGACATTTCCCCTAATAAAAAAATATCTTGCATGTTTAATCTCGTTTTGGCATCAGCTTCTTGGGGAACTCCAACTAAGCTTCAGAAATGTTTAAATATAATATACTTTTGGGTTAGTTATAGGGTTAGCATGACACAACCGACTGTCTTTTTTTGTGTTTTGCTTTTTTTTTTTTAAATAAAAATTTACTCTTTGGAAAGTTTTTCTAAATGATTCTATTACAAACATAATTTGCAGGAAAAAAACATAATTTGCAGATACTGAGAGAACTAGTTTTTGCCTCCCTATTTACTGTCTTTTGTACATACTATGATTTGAAGAAATAGAATCTTAGAATTTTTAGCATGAAAAAATTTTAATTCAGCAGTTTTGGAATGCAAAGAAGAATTAAAGCATAGTCAACTGCCTGGCTGGTGGACCACATCCAACCTGTGATTTAACCTTCAATGTAACTAAGCTCAAATAAGCTAAGTTATGGGACAGGAGAGAAAATTAACATTTATTCAGGACAAGTATATGGGATAGGGAAGGAGTTGGAATGTTAGAATCAGAACTCTAAGGCTAATGTACTCCAAACCTACACCACTAAGCCAAGCTTCAGAATACCCAGTGGGGTATTTTTTTGGATTGAAAAAAGAGAAGTAAACAATGTCAATTAAAAGTCCAAGACTAAGGGGCACCTGGCTGGCTTAGTCACTGGAGCATGCACCTCTTGATCTCAGGGTTGTGAATTCAAGTCCCACGTTGGGTGTAGATATCACAGTCTTAAAAACACCACCACCACCACCAAAAAAATAATGTTTTAAGACTGAAAGACCTGAAGACCCACGTCCAAAATTACTTTGGTCAGCCACTGTCCCCTCTAGACATCTGCTTTCACATTATGGGGCTACGGAATTAGAGAACAGTCCCCAAGACAGTTTTGATAATTTTGCCAGGATTCACAGAACTTATTGAAATGTGTTATACCCTTAGTTATGATTTATTGCAATAAAGGTGTTGAGATTAAAGTGAGCCAAGGGAAGAGATACATGTTGCAGAGTCCAGGAGGGCTCCAAATGGAGAGCTCCCAGTTGTCTCTTTCTTGGACAGTGTAGACCCCTCCTGGCAACAAGACGTGAAAGTATGCATGGAATATTGCCAAGTAAGAAAACTTACTTGATCTTTGATATCCATAGTGTGTGTTTTTTTGTTTTTTAAATATTTATTTTTGAGAGAGAGAGTATGAGCAGGGGAGGGGCAGAGAGAGAGGAAGACAGAATCTGAAGCAGGCTCCAGGCTTGAAGCTATGGGCACAGAGCCTGATACGGGCCTCAAACCATTGAACAAGATTATGACCTGAGCTGAAGTCAGAGGCTCAACTGACTGAGCTACCCAGGTGCCCCGATATCCATTTGTTTTTACTGGGGCTCTGTCAAATAGATACTGTCAGCTGCTCTGTGGCTGACCTCAGTCTCCAGCCCCTTGAGTGGTCAAACTGATAACACATGACCCAAAGCCCCCACAATAAATTACATTATTAGACTGTCTGATGTGACCCAAGACCCTGATATCAGCAGGACATTTCACAGGCTTAGAGATTACCTCCCAGGAGCAGAGGACAAAGGCCAAGCCTCTCTTTGAGCAAAATTGTTTACTACACAGGGCCATTGATATTTTATTTTAACCTAGATAATACCTATCTCATAGTACATTTGTGAAGATTGAATAAGGCATTGGATTAAAAATTGCTCTGGTCTCTGGGTTTTCCAAGGCTATATGTAGCCAGTAATGGTGGAGCTGAGACTTGAACTCAGGACTTTCTAATCCCAAAGCTGATAGTATTTTTCTGTTGTGTTTATCTATGTTATTTAAAACTGCAAATAAAAGTGGAATAAAATGTGTTTATTCTGTTTGACATTTAAAATATCAGTGGCTTTCAGTAGAATATTGGAGGCTGCCACCAAAGTCATATTATAGAGAATTAAGGAGTGATAAGAAAATGGAGATAGTTGAGTATTACACTGCTATTCTAAAAGTTTTGTCAAAGGTAAGGGGAAGTGAGGATGAAACTGGAGGGGATCCAAGATCGAATTGTAGGTTTTGGGGCACCTGGCTGGCTCAGTCAGTAGAGTGGGTGACTCTTGATCTTGGGGTCCTGAGTTTAAATCTCATGTTGGGCGTAGAGATTACTTTTTTTAAAATAATGAAGAGAGTAGCTTTTGATATTTTTTTTTTAAAGATGAGAGCCTTTTGAACATGGACCATACAGTGACTGTACTAGTCTCTACGAATGTTCTCTCATTTAAGTCTCACTTGCACTGAACTAGAAGCTGTGTTTTGCTGTAAAACTGAAGATTGAGTAAGCTTCCCTGGTTTTCACACTGTTTTAAAAAACCAAGATTCAGAAAGGTTATGCAATATTGGTAGTAAAATGGAATAAAAAAAAGAGTGTCTGTTGCATAGGATTGTTATGAGGATTTAATGGGACAATCCTCTGAAAAAGTAAGATGTCAGCTTTGGAGCATTTCTCTTTAGGAGCCCCAAACCCTCTTAACGGTGCTTGCCACATAGTGAGCTACTCAGTAAATGCTAGCTACTGAAGTGTATTTTTAAATTCTACTCAGTAAAAATGGGTTTCATGGACTTTGGAGGCAAGCTATAGAATGATTTTTATTTCTTAAATTTTTCAAAACTGCTTTTTTCCTAGACATTTAATTGTCACATTGGAAATAAAGTTTAAATCTATATTTATTCTTGCCTAATTGAAGTAATAATTCTACACTAACTTTTTTTTCACTCACTAGCATGCCTGGGTGACCCAGTCAGTTAAGCATTCGACTCTTAATTTCTGCTCAGGTCAGGATATGGTGAGGTTGAGGTCAAACCCGCATCGGGCTCTGTGCTAATGGCACAGAGCCTACTTGGGAGTTTCTCATTCTCCAGCGCTGTCTCTTCTCTGCCTCCCTCCCAAGCCCCCCTCCCATTCCCTCCCTCAAAATAAGTAATGATTCTTTTTTTTTTTTTTTTGAGACAGAGTGAGACACAGTGCAAGCAGGGGAGGGGCAGAGAGAGAAGGAGACACAGAATCTGTTTGGGTTTTTTTAAATGTTCTTTATTTCTGAGAGAGAGAGAGAGAGACAGCGTGAGCAGGGGAGGGTCAGAGAGAGAGGGAGACACAGAATCTGAAACAGGCTCCAGGCTCTGAGCTGGCTGTCAGCACAGAGCCCAGCACGGGGCTCAAACCCACGAACCTTGAGATCATGACCTGAGAGGAAGTCGGACGCCTAACTGACTGAGCCACCCAAGTGCCCTGTAATCATTCTTTTTAACAGATATTTTTACTCACTAACTTTTAGGTGTTATAGTTTCTTTTTTTGCTTTATGTTTCATGCATTCTTTTTTGCTTTGTTTTTTCTTTTTAACTCTAGAAATAAATAGCCACCATGTCGAGCAAAAAGGCAAAGACCAAGACCACCAAGAAGCGCCCCCAGCGCGCAACATCCAACGTGTTCGCTATGTTTGACCAGTCACAGATTCAGGAATTCAAAGAGGCCTTCAACATGATTGATCAGAACAGAGATGGTTTCATTGACAAGGAAGATTTGCATGATATGCTTGCTTCTCTAGGTAGACTTTTATATCCTTTATATGCCCACTTCCCCAAAATAATAATTGTGAATTATTTCTTGTGTGATGTGTAAGCATTCCTCAAAGGCTTATTGAGAGACATCTGGGTGGGAAGTGCCATGTTGGGGTTGGATAGTCTTAAGAGGATTTTATTTATAATTTTTTTTTATAATTGAAAAAAAGAAAATTTAAAGATACAAGACTTAAAGCAAACATAAACTGCCCTCTGGTTATATGGGCACACTGCCTGGTTGTATGGGTTTTACTTTATTATTCCTTGTACGATTTTGTTGTTGGTTGTGATCTTAAAAAGAAGGATGGGAGGGAAGGTCTTCCATGTTTTACCCCAAGTCAGCAGGGATTTTTACAGTTGGAAATGGCAAACGTAGGAGTTCTCTATAGACTGGACAGGGAAGGGGGTGCAGGTCACAGATGGTCTACAGTTAGGCTTTGCACTCTGAAATTTTCCCATGCTTGACTGTTAGCCAGAAAGGGCAGTTCAGGGGCCAGAGGGCAAAGAGTGATGTTGTTTTCTTTTTCTCTTAGTAACCACAACCACAATTTTGTTCATCTATTTTATTTTTTTCTGACATTGTTTTGAAAAAAAATTTTTTTTTTTTTAATGTTTTATTTATTTCTGAGAGAGAGAGAGAGAGAGACAGCGTGAGCAGGGGAGGGTCAGAGAGAGAGGGAGTCACAGACTGAAACAGGCTCCAGGCTCTGAGCTGGCAGTCAGCACAGAGCCCGACGCGGGGCTCGAACCCACGAACCATGAGATCATGACCTAAGCGAAAGTTGGACACTTAACCGACTAAGCCACCCAGGCGCCCCTGAAAAAAATTTTTTTAACATTTTATTTTTAAGTAATCTCTGCCCAACATGGGACTTGAACTCATGACTCCCAAATCAAGAGTTGCATGCTCAAAAATAAAAGTTGCATGCTCTATTGACTAAGCCATCCAGGTGCCCCTATTGTGAAAATTTTTAAGCCTGCAAAAAGTTGAAAGATCAGTGTAATGAACATGCACACATCCTTTACCTAGATGCACCAGTTGTTAACATTTTGCAACATTTTCTTTATTCAGGGTGAGAGTAGAATCAGGATACTGAACTAAGTTGTTGCCTTGGAAGTAGGTTGGATCCAGTGTTTTTCACACTCAGAACGGCTAACTAAGTGTGAGCTTTTGGGCACATCACTACTGAAGAAGGCTGCAGAGGAAAATTGAGGGACTTAGTTGTAATACAAAGATTGAACACTCAAGCCTGTATCCTCTTATAATAGATGCTCAATTAATTTTTGTTGGATTAATGAGGGATGGTAGAGTAAGAGGCTGACTTTGGGACCTTCCGTTTTGGGGAGGTCCATGCCTTTAAAGATACGTATTTATTTATCTTTCAAATCAAATTATATTGGATGCCTTGAGTGGGTTCATAGGTGCTTAGCCTAAACCAATTCATTTTAAATCACTGTGTCTTTCTTGTTCTCTTGACACCTTTGGGTTAGACTTTTACCCCAAAAAATTGGGGCAAGAGAGTTGAATTAAATTTGCAGGCAGAAAAGTAGATCTTTGTAGCTTCTTTCACTTATTCAGTGAATCTTAAATTAATTTTGGGCTAATTTTTGTATTGGTATGTTGAATAGGTGTATGAGTGAGACAGGTAATATAAATGCCAGCTTGCATTTATATTTCACCCGAACTCCCAGGATGAAAACTACATATGAACCACAGTTCTAGATTTGATTATCGTTAGCACGTAGTTTGGTATAATATTCAGATGCTTCCTTAGATGTGAGTATCTAACTTAAGATTCTTTTCATAGAGAATCATTACAAATAATGTTGGGAGGGACTTTTCAGATACCAAGTTTACCCAGTCCATGTTACAGATCAAAGAAAGTAACCCTAGACAACCGCCTCCTTTTCTCAGGTCACAAAGCTAGTGACAGAACTGGGATTCAAACCCATAATTCTAGACCCTTCCTTCTTTCACGGCTATTTTTCCTATACCATGGGGGGACCTCACAAATACCTGGGCAAAGAAGAGCCCTTTGTTATTCCTACCATGACTGGCTCTTCCAGGGGACTTTCTTCTAACTTCAAAGGAAGGGTCAGAGGAATCTCCCTCCATGGGGAGAAGTGTTCTCAGTGGGAACTGAGATTAAGATTTCCCATTATGAGCAGTGCTTAACTAGTTCCACCATATGAGTGAATAGCATTTGCATATATGTCTGGCCACTGAATAATAGACACTATTGTTCAAAATGAGCTCAGCCATTGAGCTAAGCCAACCTAGTAGTTTCAGCTTAAATGACCAACTTATAAATAAAATGTTTGAAGATTCTAATTTATGGGCATCTGTACCACAAATGGAAATATGAATATTTCGGGACGCCTGGGTGGCTCAGTCGGGTAAGCATCCGACTTCAGCTCAGGTCATGATCTCATGGTTCATGAGTTTGAGCCCCACATCGGGCTCTCTGCTGTCAGCGCCGAGCCCACTTCAGATCCTCTGTCCCCCATCCTCCCTGCCTCTTTCTCAAAAATAAATAAACATTAAAAAAAAAAGAAATATGAATATTTCAAATTTTTAAACGACTGGCATTGAAATGCCCTGATGGGCCTTTAACATTTAAGATATAAACCTGTGGCATTACCTGGTTCATGGTTTCAGGTGCTTGGTTTTCGTTTTTTGTTTTTTAAGAGAGAGAGGGATGCCAGCATGTAAGCAGGGGAGGGGCAGAGGGAGAGGGAGAAAGAAAGAATCCCAGGCAGGCGACACACCTAGTGCAGAGCCTGACACAGGGTTGATCTCACCACTGTGAGAGCAAGACCTGAGCCAAAAATCAAGTCCGATGCCTACCTAACTGAGTGACCCAAGCACCCCTTTGGTGCTTATTTTTGATGAAAAATAGTGAAGGAAAAGTTACAGAAAGTATTGATGAATGAAAAACATTCAACCTGAGCCCACAATATGGTTTTTTTTTTTATAATTTATTTATTTTTTTATTTTTTTACAAATAGTTTATTGTCAAATTAGTTTCCACATAACACTCAGTGCTCATCCCCACAAGTGTCCTCCTCCATGCCCATCCCCCCTCCCCCCCATAATAATTTATTTATTTTTGAGACAGAGAGAGACAGAGCATGAGTGGTGGAGGGGCAGAGGCAGAGGGAGACATAGAATCTGAAACAGGCTCCAGGCTCTGAGCTGTCAGCACAGAGCCTGATGCGGGGCTCGAACCCATGAACCGTGAGATCCGACCTGAGCCGAAGTAGGACGCTTAACCAACTGAGCCACCCAGGCGCCCCAGCCCACAATATGTTTTTATAGAATGATGTATCAAAGATTTTTTTTATGTTGTCAAAAATTTGTCTTTTTAAAATGTTCTTAATGCAAGTTAACTGAAAAAATAGTTTCATGTGATGATGTGACTTAAAAGTATTTTGGGGAGCATAACACTAACAAAATAATTATGTGTAGAAGTCAGTTCTTTGTCCTTAAATGTTAAAATGTGAAATTTTCTAGGGAAGAATCCAACCGATGCATACCTTGATGCCATGATGAATGAGGCTCCGGGACCCATCAATTTCACCATGTTCCTCACCATGTTTGGTGAGAAGTTAAACGGTACAGATCCGGAAGATGTCATCCGAAATGCTTTTGCTTGCTTTGATGAAGAAGCAACTGGTGAGTGTTCTTTGTTCATGCCCACCCTCACTCCGGACTCTATGGAATACTTTTTAGGAAATGAAAAAACTGAGTAAAATATAACTATTTATTTTTTATTTAAGTTCATTTATTTTGAGAGAGGGAAAGAGTGCAATCAAGACAGGTGCAGAGAGAAAGGGAGAGGATCCCAAGCAGGCCCCACACTGTCAGCACAGAGCCTCACATGGGGCTCGGACCCACAAACCACAAGATCATGACCTGATATGACGTCGGACGCTTAACTGACTGAGCCACCAAGGCGCCCCATTTTTTTTGAGTAAACTATAACTTAAAAAGAAATGAATAAACTATCATTTATAGTATGACCGAGAATGGGTAGGTCACAGGTATGTAGGTCATAAAGCTCCCCAATTTTTGGTGTCTTTGAATTTGGTTCTAAGCCTCCTGAAAGCCAAATGGAGAATTGTCTATTAAACAGTTTTTCTTAGACAATGAAAACTACTTTTTCAAGAGACTGTCAATCTCTCCAAAAATTATAGTTAACTAACTTGAAAAATTAAAAATGTTTTTTCTCTCGCTTTAAATCACGTAAAGCCTAGTTATTCACATTTTCTTACTCCTCTCATTTTCTCCTTCTCCACTAACCCTCTTCTCAGCCACCCACACACCTCCTCAGATGCACTTTGCACCCTTCTTCCTGCTTCTCTCTCCAGAACTGTCACAGCTGCTCTGCCCCTCTAGCACATTTGGTCTTGGCGGCACTATCCATTTTTCTGGGCAGCTGCCTTTGTATTTCCTTTACATCTCTGAAATTCTGAGGGTTTTTTTCCTCCTCTAGAGAAAAATTTGCTTCAAATTAATTGTGTAAGCATTATAAGCTATTAACCTAGCCTTTAAAATGAAAGAACTCTCGGGGCGCCTGGGTGGCTCAGTCAGTTAAACATCCAGCTTCGGCTCAGGTCATGATCTCACAGTTCGTGTGTTCAAGTCCCTCATCAGGCTCTGTGCTGACAGCTCAGAGGCTGGAGCCTGTCTTCAGATTCTGTGTCTCCCTCTCTCTCTGACTCTCCCCTCCTTGCGCGGTCTCTCTCTGACTCACAAAAATAAATAAAAAACATTAAAAACAATTAAAACTAAAGAACTCTCAACGTAATAGGCAAACAATGATGTAGTTACATAATTGCCTTAGTTTGCTAGTTATTTTGTTCACATAAACTTGGATATTCTGAAATATTTCCTAACACTGACCTATCTTAGAAATGAACCATTCAGTGCCAGGAAGTGTTCGTGACTCCCCTCTTTCTACTGCCAGGCACCATCCAGGAAGACTACCTGAGGGAGCTGCTGACAACGATGGGAGACCGGTTTACGGATGAGGAGGTGGATGAGCTGTACAGAGAAGCGCCTATCGACAAAAAGGGGAATTTCAATTACATTGAGTTCACGCGCATCCTTAAACATGGAGCAAAAGACAAAGATGATTGAAAGAACTTCAGCTAAAACCTTTCAGTTGCTTTGTTTTCCTCCGTTTTATCTCCTAGACACTGTCCCCCACACGCATAGACCTGTTGCATGCAACTTAGTTTCACGGCTTTGCCTCTTTTTTTGATGTATTTATTCTAGACCTTTCTGCCACTTAGCACTTGTATAATCAGACTGCAAATGGGGTTGAGGTTGTAAATTGTGCTGAAAAAGAGATTGCGAATAAAAATCAACAAATGTGAAAGCCCAGGAAAATATATCCGGTATTTCTGGTTTTGCTGGATTTTTACATTTTTATATAATAAAAACACTATTTTGAAATAAAGATTATGCTGACTCAAATGGAATATAATGGAGAGTTAAATAAATGGTAGGTGGGGGCAGTCATTTTTTCTTTTTTCTCCAGATTTTCAACTTCACATATTTCACATTTCATGGTAAAGCCAATTTTTCAGTTACATGAGACAATGTTCTTCAGAACTTTTAAGTACAACAAATTAACATCATTATGCAGTAAAAACTAGTTATACCTTTGTGATTTTAATGCTTTTATTAAGTCAAATGTTTATTGAATGATAAATATAGAATGTATCTGAGAAAACATTTAACCGTTGATGGATCTTAGAGCCTAAGAAGATTCTGAAGGACAGTTACTGTTAACATTTACCATGTGTGAAGCACTGCACACAGATGATTTTCACTGACTCTTCCCAACAATCTTGTGAGATAGATTTCTATTAGTGCTGTGTTTCAGGTGGGATAACTGAGTTCTGCATAGTTGAGTGATTGATCAGTCACTTATAGTGAGAGGTGAGATTCCAACCTGGGTGCCTAACTCCAGAGTTTATAGTCCTGGAGCCACTCTGTGCTGTCTCTGCAAAAAGCCTCAAATGCTTAAAAGGTGAAGACATTTCTATTACATTCTAACATAGTTTTGTAGTCATTGAAATTTAAAATAATTTACAGAAGTTGATTATTTGAACAGAATTTCAGAAAAGTATCCAGTTAAAAACTAGAAGATGAGATTTTAAGCAATACTATGTTTGAAGGCAGTTCATGTGGTGTATAAACTAGGCTATATGCAAGGACTAAAAAACAGACATGGCTGCTACGGAGCTCATTTAAAATCCTCAAAGCCAGGTGGTATGAACAATAGAGAGAAAGCTAAGACACTAGGTTTTTCCAGTCTTGTTCAATACCTCTCCTTCTCTTAGAAGTATCATTTTGGTTTTTTTATCTGCTAGAAATCAATGCATTTACATAACATATTATTTGCTGCCAATTATTCTGGCTTCCTTTCTATCCTCTTTAAAATGAGCAGACAGTTTCACTGTCATGGTCTAGTATAGTGCTCCATACTTCATGAAAGCGTTCACATTTGCCATCTGATCCTCACAGCACACGAGGTAGATAGGACAAATGTTATTCCTGCCTTTTTTAGGAGAGCTGAAGTCTAGAAAAGCCAAAGCACCTGTCCAAGCTTAAAGTCACGATGCAGTATCAAGCCAGGTGGAGAATCGCTATATGCTTTAGGGAAGGGGAAATTCTACAGAGAGAATCTTGATCATCATTAAACCAGTATTTATCAGTCACCTGTTACATGCCAGGTGCTGTTCTTTTTTTTTTGTTTTTTAATTTTTTTTTTAACATTTTTGAGAGAGACAGCATGAGTGGGGGAGGGAAGGAGAGAGAGGGAGACACAGAACCCAAAGCAGACTCCAAGCTCTTCAGCTCTCAGCGCAGAGCCCCACACAGGGCTCAAACCCATAAACCATGAGATCATGACCTGAGCCGAAGTTGCTAAACTGACTGAGCCACCCATGTGCCCCCAACAGGTAACGTTCTAAATTTCAGGGGAGAGGGCAGGAACTAGGGGACAGGACAGACCAGGATGATGCCCTCTGTGGGGCTCAGGTTCACTGGTGAGAAGCAGGATCAGTAAGCCATATCACATTAGTGCTGTGGGACGAAGAACAGAGCAAGTATGGCGGAGGGCCTCTGAGAAGTGACATTAAACAGATCTGCATGACAAGAAAGAGGTCCCCTCTTTTTCCACTCACGAAGCTCCTTTCAGGGCACACTGTAGCAGGAGCATTGGGACAGCACAGGAGAAGGACATGAGGGTGGTATTTCCTGTTCAGTGTGGAATCCTAGGGCTTTGGGCAGGGAGGAAATGTGAGATTCTTAAAAACTTAACCTTGCTGCTGAGTACAGAAAGGAGGGGCAAGGGCCGCCTAAGTGGCTCAGTTGGTTAACGGTTGGACTTTTGATCTCAGTTTGGGTCATGATCTCAGAGTCTTGAGTTCAAGCCCTACATTGGACTCCACACTGGGTGTGAAACCTACCTTTAAAAAAAAAATAGAAAAGAGGGGCAAGAATAGAAACAAAAACAGTAAGGCTTCTGGTTAGGAGACTACCACTGTCATCAAGGTAAGACACAAAGGTGGCTGGGATTCCAGAAATAGTAGAAGAGGTGGTTGTAAAATGCCTCTCCTTGTCTATTTCCTCTGCTTCATCTCTACCTTGTTGCTGTCTCTCTGATAATTATTCTAAGTGCCATCAAGTTTTTAAAAAATTAGTTGTTCTTGGGGCACCTTGGGTGGCTCAGTCGGTTGAGCGTCCAACTTCGGCTCAGGTCATGATCTCACGGTCTGTGGGTTTGAGCCCCACATCTGAGCTGTCAGCACAGAGCCTGGAGCCTGCTTCGGATTCTGTGTCTCCCTCTCTCCGCCCCCACCCCCACCCCCTCATGCTCTGTCTCTCTCCATCTCTCAAAAATAAATAAACATTAAAAAAATTAGTTGTTCTTAATATCTTATGTTGACCTGCTTATCTCATTCTGTTTCCTATAGTATCTATAAAGAGAGTTGTGGAGTCCAGTAATATAAGGCACCTAGGTTAGGACTTTGTTCCCTTCTGGTGTCCAATAAATAAATGAAAACTCTTTATTCAATATCATTCTCTTTTTTGAGAGCCAAATAGTGATGATCTCAAGTTGACAATTGATCTTCTGGCTGTTACACTGGGGATGTATGTGTGTGTGTTTATGTGTGTGTAATCATGCAGTGGAAATTGTGCTGAATGTTTACTATGTGCTAACCATGTTACCCCACTGCCCTCTGAGGTAGATACTGTATTTGTATTACCCCTGTTCTAAAAATGAAGCACTGAGGAACAGAGAAGTAGCTTACCAAGGTTACACAGCTGGTGGGCAATGGGGCTGTTACTTGAATTCTGGCAGTCTAATTCCAGAACCTGCCCTCCCAGGAAAATGATTATTGGAAATAATACCACTAGTTTTTACCATCATTAAAGAAGTTTCTAAACTCTAGGAGGTGGAGAAGATAGGCATTATTAACCCATTTTACAGGTAAGAATACTGAGTTATAGAAGTTCCCTGACTTGCTCAACTTGATATAACTAAACAGTGTCTGAGCCAAGACTTGCTTCTAAGCTTTCTGAGTGAGATGGAGTGCTTCTCATGAAACCTACCGTTTCCTAATTAAACAATGCCTGTAGCCTGACCCTAAGTTTTTTCTAATTTGCAAATTTATGTATATGAAAACTATTAATATTTTAATATGAAATTATATTTAATTATACATTTAATGGATTATCTTTCCTAATAAAATAATTGCATAAAATAAATTTTAAAGTTCAGCAATACATATATGAATAAATACTGAATGATGAATTTCCTTGATTGTAAGTTGACTTTTTTTTACACTTTAATGTTTTTGAAAACAAAATGTCTTACAATCAATGTATATATTTAATATTGTTTATCCTGAAAAGTAATTGTATCTGTGTTGCCTCTCAAAATTGATGTCATAAAAAATAAGAAACAGTCTTTGAAATATAAACACATAAACTACTGAAAAATTTAATAGGAATAGGCTGTGTAAATATGTCATCTGGGAAATATGAATGAGGATGTAAAAGTCTATCACATACTGAAATTTTGAGAAAAGTTTTCTTGGACAGAAAAATGCCGAGGATCACAGATGGCACACGTGACACTCTCTCTTGTCATATGCAATTTTGGAGACAATAACCAGAAGTGTCGCTAGATGGCACTATTATTCTTAGTAGTGTAGTAACTTATTCCTTAATGAACTTGAAAGTGATAAAGCATGAGTATAAATATGTAGAGTATTAGTCCCAATAATGCTGTAACATTGCCAAATTGTTTCTTAACAGGAAAGAATAACAAAATCTATTGCAGTGAAATTCATACTATTTTGTGAACCCCAAAATCCAGGGAGCAAACTCTTGGATTCCTTTTTACAAAGCTGTATCATTCATTCATTTATTCCATCAATCATTCACCAACTTACAAATATGTATTGAGTGTACAGAAATTGCCAAGATCTCAGCAATATTTTGGTTATTTTCACACTGAAGCAAAAGGACTTTTGCTGAAAGTAAGATTATGGCCTTTGCTCTTGTAAAACCTGTGTCCTCCGCTTACTGACGGGGTTATCTTGCACAAGTCAGTATTATTATTATCACTTGTATTTTAGAGATGAGAAGACTGAGGCACAGAAACAGTAGATGGGTATGAAGATACTTTGTAAAATCGTGCTCTGTGTATGAATATCATTAGTACCTCAAGAATGTTGCCCACTCTTTCTATTAGTACTTCTATGTAATACGCTCTATTAAGTCCATCTAAGCTTATAAAGATCAGCCCCAACACAAATGGCCATGAGACAGCTTCTCAGTGCGGCTGCTCCCTGCCTCTCCCTACCTCTTGGAAATACTGTCAGACCCGAAAATGAGAGATCTGAAGTGTTTCGGCAGGATACCAGGAGTATGTTGTGGGGTGTGTATGAGCGGGTGGGTTTGGACAGAAAAAATCATTTCCACAAGTCTTGCAGGAAGCCGACCTAATCTTTTACTGGTCTTGCTTGTGCTACCGTTGATGTTCGTTGCTCCCAGGGTATAACGCTGCCTTTCAGACATTCATTCTGAAGGAACACGATGACAAAGCAGGTTTCCTCGCGGATGTCGCTAACACACACAGCAAAACTAAATGTGAATACTTTATTCACGTTTTGTACTAATCTGAGTGTAGATTGACAGTGGCTCATTTTAGGAGGTTATGCTCATTGTGCTTTTCTCAAGTTAACTTCTTTTTTAAAACTCTTTTTTAATGTTTATTTATTTTTGAGAGCGACAGAGCGGGGGAGGGGCAGAGAGAGAGAAAGACACAGAATCTGAAGCAGGCTTTGGGCTCCGAGCTACCAGCACAGAGCCAGATGTGGGGCTTGACTTGATTGGAAGGCACTTGCTTAACCGACTGAGCCACGCAGGCGCCCCTCA